TTTTAAAAACCAATATTTTTTTTTGTTTATTGAAAAACTGGTTTACTTATACAAATCTATTTTAAATAAATCATGGTAATTATATGTAAAAGGTCATTATACATGGACATTTACTTGAAACAAGGAAATTTAACCAGTAACTTTCATTTCATTAAAGGAAACCTTTTTACTATTAAATTTATCAAATAAACTTTACTTCTATGAAGTTTATTAGAGATGAAGATTTTTTATATCATAATTTCCTTGCTCCATTATTAAACTATTTTTAATTTTTATATACAATTTAAAAAGATTTTACAGATAAGTTTGATATCTAGAAAAATCATACCAAAAAATTTGTTGTCCGTTGAAACGCGATTTAAATATAAAATCCGTTGAAACGAGGGTTCGACTGTATGGTTATTTTCGATAAGGCTCCGAAGGAATCAATGAAATTCGAACCGAAACGAGACGAAACGAGACGATCTCGAATTGTGTTTTGGTTCGAACTGATTCGGATATATAATTTAATTCGAACTGTTACAATCCGAACTGATTTGAATAGAATCATTATCATATTAGTGATGGTGGCCGAAACTACCTTACTTAATGGGCCGAAATTGCCGAAATTAATTGGCTTAAATTAATTTTAATGGCTGAATTGGCGAAATTTTTTAAAATATAGTAGATTGATTTATTTTTCAAAAATAGTTTCGGCCACCATCACTAAATAATATCTTTTATCAATTAAAAAACTTTTAAATCTAAAAATATCACAGTCTTGGTTTAGCAAATAGTTTGGGGTAATTATAATTAATATTGATATAACTCACATATGTAATTGATTATGTCACATTTCAATTGAGTTTAGTTATTACCGAAAGATCGTGCCCCTACTTAAAACAATTTGTTATACAGTTGTAAAAAGGTGGTGCTATCTTTCGAGACTTTACGGTACAAGTACTAATAAACCACGTGACAAAATAAATTTTGATTTTTTTATTCTTTATTCTTTATACGAACGACTATAATCATAAAAAATATATTATTCTGAGAAAAAAGACTACATTTCACTTTCCCATCATGACAAACTTTTCTTTTATTACTCTCTAAATGAATGTCTTTCTCTATTACTGTCACAAAAATACTTATATGACAAGAAAGTTTCATTATTATAAAGAATGAAACTGGATTTTATATTAAAAAACTAATAAATATTATTTCGATTCATAAAATAATTATATAAAAAACATCTTTAAAAAATTTGGTCCAGGACAAAAGCTACTTTATTCTCCGGTAATGGTAAAATAATTTTTAATTTTTCCGCGCCTTATTATTATTATTATCTTATAATTAGAGCTTTCCCAAATTACTTACAACTCAGTCTAGAACTTTATTATTATTATTATTATATTAGCCAATCTAATACAACGTACAACAAGTTTAAGTTTGTATAACGTAATACTTGTAAATAATAAAATAACTGGTATATATTAAGAGCTTTTTTAAAAAAAATTTTTTTTTTAAATCTCTTTTTTAAAAAAAAAATAGATAGATAAATAAAAATAAATAAATAGAATCAATTATATATATTTGAAAATAAATAAGCAAGAATTTTTTTAAAATATAGGATAATTAATTTTAAAAAAAAACGGAAATTTTTTTTCATTAAAAGAGATTTAACACTTTGTAAATTTGTAAATTAAAACTTGTAAAAAGACGATTAGAGAAATGGGAGTATATGAGAATAAGGATTTTAATTCAGATGATGATTGTGCAACAGTCAGAGGTGATGAATCAGAAGCAGAACACACTGATTTTCTAATTTATAATAATAATAATATTGTAAATTATGGTATTAAACGTATGAGATCTAATTCCTCATTAGGAGAAACTTTTAATAATTATGATGATGAATTACCTGTATCAAAATCCATGGACTGTACTATAGAAAATTCAAATATGGATATAATTAATTCTATTGATAACAATGATGATTATAGTATTAATAGTGGTAGTAACAGCAGTAGTGATAATGGTTATAATACTAATCATAGTGAGTGTAATATTTCTATTACTGTTAATACAAAATCAGAAACTAAAAGAATGCCACCTTCAAAAAAACAATTAATATCAAAGTCTAATATTGGCAATGATGATGGTATAAAACAAAAGAAAAATAATGATAATAACAAAGATAAAGTGACAAAAACTAGAAAATTGTCTAGATCACCTAATAATAAAAAGAAACAAACAAACAATAAATCTTTAAGATTTCAAAGTACAGACAATATTTCTAATAGTAATAAACAAAGATTTATTTATAAAGTAAATGAAATAGATAAGAATGATATTTTTACTAGAGATAGAGCTGGTCAAACTAATTTACATAGAGCATGTCAAGAAGGCAAATTAGATAGAGTTAAATATCTGATAGATAAAGGATCTGACATTAATGCATGTGATAATGCAGGGTGGAGTTCACTTCATGAAGCTGCATATCATGGATATTTAGACATTGTGTGTTTTCTATTAGAAAATGGAGCAGAAGTTAATGCCATTTCATATGATGAATTGGACACCCCACTTCATGACGCATGTGCTGAAGGCCATGAAGATATCATTAGAGTTTTGTTAGAGTATGGAGCTGATCCTGAAAAAACTAATGTAAATGAAAAAAGACCTGTAGATTACACATCCAATAAAAATATTGTTAAATTATTGGGGACATTTGTGGAAGTTGTTAAAACACCTGTTAAAAAATCAAACCTTTTATATTCAGATAAAAGACCATCAAATGCATTGTTATTAAAAAGTGATGGTGCAATTGGAAGTAGTAATGAAGGTAATATTTATACAAATACATAAATGCTTATCTATGTTTATATGTATATTTACTAAATATTAATTAATGTTTATTGTCATATTGTGATATTTAGATGATGTTCAAACCAAAAAGCCTACAATTTTAGAAGTAAATAGTGATCCTAAGTTTAAACCAAAAGGTTTTGCAAATAAAAAAAATTCATTTGATAAATCAGAAAACCAGAAGAAATCTATTCAAAAAAAATCACCAATTGCGAGCTCCAACAGTATTACTAGAAATAATAATAGTAATGGCAATAATAAAATTAGCAACAACAATGTTATTATCAAGAAGAATAAAAATAGAGGTGTAAGATCAAAATTTTCTAATAATGATATTTTAAGAATGGATCTTAAAAGTAGAGATTTGTCTGGAAGAAGTCAGTTGCATATTCATGCCAAGAAAGGTAACATAGAAATGGTAGGAAATTTGATTGAAGCAGGGGCCAAAATCAACATTACTGATAATCATGGACGTACACCATTACATGAATCTGCATATGAAGGTCGTTATGAAATTGTAAATATATTAGTTGCAATGGGAGCAAATATAAATGCCACTGATAACAAATTCAATACACCACTTCATGATGCAGTTAAGAATGGTCATACTGGTGTTGTGGAAGTTCTTTTATTTAACAATGCTAAACCTGGTGAAAAAAATATCGAGGATAGGGTACCTTTAGATTTAGCTAAGTGTAGAAAAGACATTGTTGAATTACTATGCAAAACTCTTCATTTAAATCCTGAAGATTATTTGTATCCTATTATTAACAATAATAATGATGATGATGAAATCACAAAAAAAAACATAATTGAGCCTCATGAAGAAATGCTTGAATTAGAAGTGAAAGGAGTATTAATAGATAACAATCAAACATCATTAGATCTAGAGCTTCAAGTTACACCAGAATATTTGAAAGATAAATATTCAGGACCATTATATACAGTTCAACTGAACACTAGTACTCCAGGATATCCACTTGCTACACCCATCATCTCTCCATCTGGAACATTATTTGTTGTAGATTTACAAGTAGAATTAATCTTAAATTTGAAAATAAGCACATTGATACAATTATATCCAAGTCTTATCAATAGATCTATCTCATTAATGGAAAAAGAAAGACTCTGGCCATTACTACGTTCTATGATATGGGCACCATCAAAATCTATTAATCCTTCTGAAGTCGTGGCATTGGAAGATCAAAGAAAATCAAAATTCTTGGAAGTTCAAATGCACTTTGTAAAGGTTGGTTGTTTAGCATGATAATTTTTTTTGCTTATATAATTAAATTTATTTATTCTTTTCATATCTATATATGTAGTATGAAGAGGCTATTAAATTAATCAAGGATAAATTGAAAAATCTTTATCTTACAACTGTTGAATTGGATATTTCAGACTACCCAAATATAGATGATGATAAAACCAGGATTAATTATGGCTCAATGGAAATTGATAATGATAATAAATATCTTCCTATAACATATCCGTTATCACCCATTTCACCCATTGCACCTAATAGATTTGAACAATTAGAAAAACAATGTTTATTTGAATAGCTAGCAGTCAAATAAATAAATACATTTATATATTCCATTTAGTGCTGATGATATTCTTAATCTCATTTTTCTTTAAAAAAAAATTTTTTTTTTTGACATTTCTACCAAATCTTCTCTCCCCAGGGTTAGCTCATAATATAAACAAATCCGCCAAATCCTTCTCTCTAAATATACTATTAATACAGTTTAATTTTCTATTCGTGCGACACAGTTCTTTGCTGACATTCTTCCCATTGCTATTAAAGACAGTTCCTCAACTAATTACGGTATATGAAAATAATTTGCGATTTTTCCATCTTTAATTGATATAAAATCCCAAGCCATATACAATAAATATTATTAACATTCGTAGAAATTAGTATATAGTACAGTAATAATAATGATGGAGATTAATATCACAGAAGACGTGATTGGACATAATTTTTGATTGCAAAATAAAATGAAAATTTTTGTCTACTTTTTTCAATTCTCTAAAAAAAATAAATAAAAAATTACTCGGGTAGACTTGATAGAAATTTATACTGTAGTAATAATTTACAAGAAATTATTGTGGTGAGATTGTATTAATATAGAATCTGATTAAGATAACCATTATTTGAAATTGTCTAAATTTAAATCATCCGAATCATCAATATTAAGAATTGACGATGAATCACTACTATTATTAGCACCATTATTAACACCAACATAGTTGTCTTCATTTACAACAATATCACAAACATCACTATTCCCATTACAGGTGCTACTATTGTTATTAATATCGTTATTAATGATACTACGATAATATCTTTCCAATAACAAATCACCATTAATTCCAAATCCTTGTCCGACTGCCTCATATAAAACATGTGTCAAATCATGTGCAGCTCTATCCAGTTGTCTCTGAACATCATTTGCCTCATTAATCGTGCCCCTCTCTCTTAGATATTTTTCTCGTCTAGTCAAGAAATCAATCAATTTCTCTAAACTCTCAATAACCTCTTTACGATTTTTTTTCTTCTCAATTTCATTATAATTACTACTATTGATGGTTTTGTTACTGCTATTAGTAATAACAATATTATTGTCATTGTTGTTGTTGTTAATGCTGTTGTTACTGCTGCTACTGTCAATAATATTATCAATAATGATATTGCTATTATTGCTGTCACTGTTAATGTTGTTATAATCACAATTTCCATTACTAATACCATTAATGTCCCCTTCGTGTCTTTTTCTTTTAAGTATTTTAGACATCTCGTATTCCAACGCTCGACACTCTTGTTTAGTTACTCGTGACAAATTTTTAGAAATGAGAAGACTAGGATACACTTTACGGATTGGAATGTCAAAAATATTGGTACCAGCCAACACGTTGAAAATTGAAAAGTCAGAGTTGGGTGTGATGTGCCACGTGTTGGGGTAAGATTTTTGTACTGTTCTAGTCTCTCGGATGTCAAGAATTAGATATGATTTGATCGGTATTAGTGAGTATCTTCCACCTAAATAGATAAATAAATAGAAAAAAAGATACATAGATTACTTAATTATATATTATATTTTCTTACATCTCCATACCACGTGTTCACACATACCATCCTGAAAACGTTCATGGTGCCTTTTCATATCAATTCCATCAATGAGCAATTCAATTGCCCATTGTGGCTCAGAGATGTAGAAATCAACAACTCCGTCTGTTGAAAATATACGTCCCACATCCGGTGATATGTGCATTTCGTCAGGTAAGCAGCTATAGATTGCTCTATAAAACTCCATCTGCCATACCCGCTCCAGCAACCTCATACCATCCTTTGACCGGCCAAGATTATGTGTTAACGCTTTTGAATTTATCCTAGACAAAGCTTCCTTGATCAACTCCTGTAAGCCAAAACCATCTTTCAGTGGTTCTTTCATCGAGACACATCTTTGAAAAAATGACAATAATTTGTTCACGGGCGAGATAAACCCAACTCTGCCCTCCCTCAGCCTGAACTCGGGACCTTTATCATCCAGATAGAAAATCACACCAGTTTTAAGTAACGATGTCATCACATCATCAGGACCTGAAGCCGACACATATATTTCATCTTTTAGCAACAATTTGTCAATTATCTCACCTTGTTCTTTAGTAAACTTGTATAGTGGTGCAGCTCCTCGATGTGATTTAATTTGTTCAATAAACTCTGATGATTTTAAATATCGCATTATTTGAGAATCAGTTGTAACTTCGTATATTGTACCTCGATATGAGAAATGATTATCAATTCCTTTCAATATCCACCTAATCAATCCAACGTGGCCTGCTGTAAAATCCATAATATATCCAGCTATTTTTTCACTAACTTGTATTTTCTTCCTAATACAATGATTATTAAATGCTTGAGCCAGCTCCAGCAATTCTTTTTTTGTGCACCTTATCAATTCAAATCCAAATTTATTTTGGAAATCAACTGGACTTTGTGTAATATTACTAACTCTACCACTACTATTTCTAGTGGTTCTACCACCTATCAATGATCTATCGTTATTAATATCGTCAGTATTAGGATTAATTATAATCGAAGCAACAGTTGAAAAGGCAATGACTTTTATCAATGATTTTTTTTTATGTATAGTTGATGATGATGACGACGATAGTCTAGACAAATATTTAACTCTAGACCAAAAATCTTCATATTTCCTATTGTTAAATATCAATTGAGTTTCATCTAGAATAATAACGAGTTCACCACAATGTTTTTTCGGGTCCAACCAGTATTTCCAACTTTTTGATGTTTCATTGATCCAAAATTTTTCAAAATCACGATAATCTTGTACACCTAGAAAACAAACATGTACCACGGGAATTTTTAGTTTACAATAATAATTTTCCAAAAGAAAACATAATGATGTTTTGCCAGTAAATGGTGGTGATCTAACTAGTATTAACTTGTCACGTTGTAGAAATTTGTCTATTTTTCTAAGTGTATCATGCCTACAAGTAATCCAGTTTTCTGATTCGAGTTTGATACCTTCGTTTTCTATTGGTGGTGACAGTAATTTTGTAATATTTTTTGTTGGATTTGTTAGTAATTTAGATGGCGGCTTTAACTTAGATGTAGAATTTTCTTTTGCAATAGATTCTTTCTTCTTTTTATAGCCATAATCATGATCATGATCATAATTATCATTATAGTTGTAATTTATTAATGAGCCTTGAGTTAAAAAAACCATAAAATCAGATTCTAAAGATGAATTTCTAATTAATTCATCATCATCATCATCTCCACCGCCATCAACTTTTTCCGTAACTATTTCTTGTCCATCTTCATTATAATAACGATGATTGTTATCTACATAATCACCTTTTATTGTTTCATAACTACTATTAGTTAATGTTGAATCATTATCATTATCATCATTGTAATTAAGATCATTATTATTATTATTATTATTATTATTATTATTATTATTATTATTATTATTATTATTATTATTATTATTATTATTATTCATTTTTACTATTATAATTTTATTATTTCTTAGAAAAAATAAATGGATCGATGGATTGATGAAATATATATATATATAAATATGTAAATAAAAATAATTTGATTTAATTTCATCTTTGAAATCTATTATTATTATTATTTTCAAATAAAAAAATTTGATAAATTAAAAAAAATCAAGTAAATTAAAAAAAAGTTCAAAATAAACTAAATCTTTGAATTATAAAAAAAAAATTTTAATGCATGGTGACAAGTTATGATTAAAGAATTGATTAATTAATAATATTTTTAAGTTTATTACTATTATTATTTATCATTACTAGTTATATCGCCTTCATTTTCAAGGAAAAGTATCATTATGCATATTAGAAGATTTATTATTGTAGAAAAAAATATCACTATTTTTAAATATAATTTTTCTAAACCATATAGTTACAAATTTCAAATTTGGACAATTCTCAGTTACTACTTGTATGTATCGTTGAATCTCTTCAATACATGGAAATAAACCAAAATCAAAATTTATTTTTTCCAGATCACCTTCAGTTGTCTCTATTATTTTGGTGTAATGATGCAATGCAGTCCGATACTGATGATTTATATTTAGAACTCTCAATTTTGCGAATTTTGCCAGTTCCAATGAATTTGATTTTAGATTTGTTCTGCCCAATATCAGATCCAATTCTCTAATATTTACCAGTTTTGACATTGCCTCTTCGGTTAAACAAATATTTTTTTGACAAGTGAAATTGGTTAGAGATGTTGCTTGTTTCGCCAATGATTTTCCAATCTGTTTACAAATAGAACCTTTTGGTGACACCAATTTGACTTCTCTTAAAGAGTTTTGCTGTTCTATCAATGCAAACAATCCATTATTCTCATTGTCCTCGCATGGATTTATCGTCAGCCGATAAATATTCTGACAAACGTGAGCCAAACCAAGTAATAAAGTTTCTGAATATTTTGATGAACATTCCAATTCATACAGGTTCGACAGACATAATAATGAACCAGGACAATATGTGATTGGGATTTCATCTGGTGGATTAAGATATTTGAACCCGTCACTTTGCATCATTATCATTTTCCAAATCAATTTTTCTACCAAATTTAAATTATATGCTAATTTTACAACATTGCCACTACTATTAGTGTTTTTTGTACTTTGTTTATTATTAACGATGACAACATGTTCAACTATTCGTTTGACATCTTTCTGAGAAATGTATTGCCAATATTTTATATAGTTAAACATTGGTTTTTGCGTTATTGGAAATGAAAGTCTCATTCCAATTTTTATCAGTTCTATTTTCGAATCAGTTGGTAGACATAATATTAAAGTATAAGAAATTTGTTTAATTAAATTATTTGTTTTATTATTGATGTTGTTATTATTATTACTACTATTATTTTTAAAGATATTTTCATTACTATTATTATGGTTATGATTATTATTATGTATTGTTGGAAATGGTTTTTTCCATAGAATTGGTATAATTATTTTACTCCAATATTTGTTAACTAATAAACATGAAAACAATGATTTTTTGTCCAATATTTCAAATATATCATGTAAACAATCTGCTGGAAGATTGAAATCCATAATAAATTTTTGAGAAAATGAAAATTCAAAAAATATCCATGTTTGTGTGGCTTATTATAGGAAGGGTCCCCTCCCTTGTGGCTAATAATTTTCGTAGTATTATTATAACCTTTTGTATAATAAGTACAAATGTCTTATTCCAAAACTCGAGACTTAAAAATAAATGCACACCCTCCATATCTATACTACACGGCCTTTAATTGCTTTAAACCTTTATCAGAGAGTTCGCAAAGTAAGTGGTATTAGACTTGTTAGACTATAAATTTAAAAAAAAAAATTACCAAGTTTTCAAGAATGTCACTATGAGGAATGATATGCAGTAGAAATTAAAAAAAAACAATATATCTCTCTATTCTGCCTATCTATTCTTCTTAGAAATTATATCAAATTTTCTTTTTACTTTAAACATCATAATTTATTTTAGATAAGGAAACTCAAGAAAGAACAGGAATATGTTTTTTGTTGATGGTCTGTTTTTATTCTTGAAATGATATTTGTATCTAATGTAGATGACGGAAGAAAATGAAAATGTATGACTTTTTTGGCCAAATCTCTTTATTTGTTGATCTGGTGTTTTTAAGAAATAACCATATGTTAAAATCGAGCCTTTTTAATTTAAAAAGTACCTTTGATCCGTTTTTTTCAATAAATGTGGTAGATCTTATAATCTTTGATAATTAATTGCCGGCTGATTTGTATATTATTTTGTGATTTCGACATCAATGAAATATATCATCTTTAGTAAATTTATGAATGACATATTAAATGCCAAACTAATTGCTGCTAACTCACCATTTTCTTTGGTTTTTCATTATAACAATCAAAAACTCTGATCTAGAAAAATTCAATATGCTGCGGTTGCGGTATTTTTAAATATTAATACGGAACGACACAATACAATCGAACTTGTTATTGTTATAACGATAGACATATATAATCAGTATTATTATCTTGGCAATGCCTTTAAAACAGTTCATTATTTTCAAATTACATCATTAAAGCTTTTTAATGAATATTTTTTTATATCAAAAGGAACTATTTATGTAAAGCTATGGCTATTCGAAAATGGTACCACATTTGTACTTTAGAGAAATTTTTTCTGTTCAATTTTGCTGTAAATCTTGAGAAGATGTAAAATTCCATATTGGTTAGGTATCTGATCTGATCAGAGGAGCTGTTGCATGCTTTATGTGGGGTGGCAGAGATCATCTATCTTGTATCTTGTTCCAAATTTAGTGATTAGATAATAAAACCACCCCAAAAGATTTTCTATATAGAAAGAAAAGTAATAATATGTTTTCCAGGCTGAGGCTCTATCCCTACGAATTGAGGGATAATGGTGTAACATTTCGGGAATTATCCGCATGGGCTGCAGGCCTGAGGGGCAAATATTATTTTTGGTAAGCAAATATTGGTTCCTTCACATATAAAATTCGTTATTAGAAATATTATTATGTTACACTTCTTTATAACGAGGCTCACTCATTTTGATAGATGAACTAATATAGTCAGAAGAATTTTTTGGTACCATTTAAGAGGTTGGATCGAAAACGTGATAAAATGATAAGTTTAAACCAAACTCTAATTATGATTTTTTTTTGGCTTTTTGATTTATCATATCTATATTATTATTATTATAAAAATACTACGTTTTTTTTTTCTGAAAAAATTTTATCAATTATATACGTTAAAAATTTTCAAGAACAAATTTCACTTTTAGAACTTTAGAATGAAGTTTTCTCATTCAATACAATTTAACGCAGTTCCTGATTGGGCTGACCATTACATTGCGTATCCTTTCGATATATTATTTCTGTTCTGAAACAAAGAATAATTAATGTCGATTCAATAAATCATTTATTTATTATTACAAAATTAAAAGGTCGATTGATCAAACTTATCCTTAACTTTTTTTATCTCAATAGATATTCAAATTTAAAAAAGCTTGTTTATCAACTTGAAAAAGATATAATTGTAACTTCGACTTCAACTGACACTGAAGCTGGAATAACTGAACAATCACCTTTATTAGTTGGTAAAACCAAAACCAATCCAATATTCACACTAGCACTAGATAAAGAATTAGCAAAAATAAACACGTTCTATTGTAATAAAGAAAAGGAACTTTACGAAAATGTTGATAAACTTATTGGTGAAGCTGCATGTATAGAAAATCTTGAAGATAGTGCAAGTGTTAATCTCAATAATCTAAGTAGATCTTATGCATCAACTGATGGCTCGCAGTCTTCATATATTCATGGTCGGGAGGTCTCCTCACATCATCAAAGAAAAAGTTTTCAACAATCCAGAAGAAATCGATCTGTTTCCGATGCAACTGGCTCATTTATTAGTAGTGATGATGTAGGGGAGGGGGAAATTTGTGATGAACCTGGTCGTATAAGGTTTTCAGTTGATGGTGATAATGATAATAATGGTGGTAATCGTAGAGCTTCTTTTGATGATCGCAGAGTTTCTTTTTTATGGGGACCACCAACTGTTGAAGAACAAAAAATAGCTTTTAAAAGACATGTTATTGAACTTTTTGTACATCTATCTGAACTAAAATCATTCGTGTCACTTAATGAGACAGGGTTTTCAAAAATATTGAAGAAATACGAGAAAATTATTGGGTGTAAGTTAAAATTTCACTATTTAACAAATGTTGTCAATGAGTCTTATGCATTCAAGAGATCGACACGTGAAAGGCTCGAGTCAGAAATTCTTAGAGTACAAGAAATCTATTCAAACTTCTATACAAATGCTGATAGAGAGGCTGCCATCAATGAACTTAAAACTCATCTGAGAGAATTTATTGTTTGGGAAAGAAATACAATATGGAGAGATATCATTG